TCCTTAATTTTGGGTGTCAGATATTTTGTCTTAGCAATGAGAGAAAAGTAACCAAGACAGGGGATCAGTGCAGTTGCCTAAGTGAGAAAGTACTTGTGAAGTAACCTGAAGGAGGTGAGAGGGTGATTATCTGGGAGAACAGCATTCCTGGCAGAGGGAACTTCTGGGACAGGGGACAGTGAGGAGATGACCTGCTTCATATGAAGAAATTGCAAGGAGGCTGCTGGCTGGAGTGATGAGGATTAGGGTAAGGGGAGACAGCGCTAGCACCGATTCTGGACATTTCCTCAGTGGGAGATGGGGAGCCACTCTGGGTTAGGCAGAAGAGTGACATGGTGGATGGACACTTTAATTGCATCACTCTGGGTGTTGTGTTCATAATACAGGAACAGGACCAAGGCTGGAAGCAGGGAGACTGATTTAAAGGGTATTACAATAATCCAGTAACAAGATAGTAGTCATACCCAGGCAGTAGCTGTGAAGGTGGTGGGGGTTGTAGAGTTCTGGGTGTATATTAGAGGCAGCATCAACAGGTTTGAGTTTGAGGCATGAGAGGACTCCAGAGTTAGACCTCAGCACCTGGGTGAATTTGGTTATCATTCACTACAATGAGGCTGAGATGCAAGAGTAGAGTAGATTCCAGAGCGTGGTGGAAATCATAAGGATCTTGGGTTTGGCTATGAGAATTTGACATCCTGTTAGACTGCCAAATTGTTATCTCTAGTAGACAGTTGTTAGTTTTTAAGTCTGGAATTCAAAGGAGAGGTCAGGACTGAAGATAGGCACTTGGAGCTGTTCAGGGGGTGGATGGCATTAAAGCAATGAACTGACTGAGATCTGAGAACCAGTAAAGGAAACCAAGAAGGTGTGTGGTGAGAGAAAAAGGCAGAGGGTGGCGCTGGAAGCTAAGCCAAAGTATTCCAAAGAGGAGAGAGCAACGCTTCTGTCCAATATTGTGCAGATGAAAACTGGTTATATGAATTGGTCATACATTAAAACCCAAGATAAGTGACTCCCCAAGGCCTATGGCTGGGAAATAACTAGGCAAGCTCTCAAAGTTAGGTTGACTTTCTTTCTGCCAGTGGAGTCTTCTGGTTGTGCCCGCCTCTGTGCACCATGTTGTGTGTCATTATGTGCTTCTCGCACTGGTGATGGTTCTGGAAGTATTTGCCCTTGTTCCAGCATGTGAGTGGCAATATCCCACATTCTTGTTTCTTAGTTTGTATGAAAATTTTCCTTCCTTATCTTTTATGTGGATATTATAGAATATTAGAAAACCAGATAAGCAAAAGAAAAGAAAGTTAAAGCCATTAATAATAATCACATCTCTCAGAAGTGACTATGCTCACAAATTGGACCATCTCCTAAACTTTTTTCAGCCATATGTGTAAATGTACTATTTTTTTCAAAACATGATTTTGTACTAAATATTTTAGAACCCTTTTAGCCAACAATATATGTCATAATCTATCATTATATACATATTTATACAAAAATAGTGCCTGTATGCTGATAATACAGTATAGTTTACCAAGCATATGGTAATAAACAGCAATCTATTCCAATGGGAATCAATCCAGAAATAGAATGATTAATCCAGAAAGAGTATTACATTCACTGAGCCTCAGCATCTATTAATTCTCACAGCAGCCCTGGGAAGATACTGTTCCTATCTCCATTTCTGTAGTTGGGACCCTGAGAGATTAAGACCCTTGCTCCTGGTTATGATGCTGTAGGTATTAGATGGATTTGCACCAAATCGGTCCTCTCCAGAGCCCACAGCATTCCCCACTGTGCATTTCTTTTTTCTTATTGTATTTTTGTTTGACCTCAAGCTAAACTTTCTTACCAGCTGCCTTCCTCCCCACTGTCTTCACAGGGCCAGTGGGTGGCCATGGTGGTGGCCTGTGCTGGAAACTGTGCTATTGGTATTTATTCGTCTGTGGTTCGTAAGACAATGCATAGAAAATTAGAGTTTTGTCCCTCTAGGTTTGCTTTGTTAGAAACAAAAAGTTCCCTGTCTCAAAGAGGATATTGATCCTCTTTGAGGTTAAAAAAAAAAAGAGTGACATTTTCCCCAAGTAGTTAAACTATGTATTTGGTGTTTTACAGATTGTTGAATACATTAGGTACACACTTTTTGTGGGCTTAATACTTAAACATGTCAGTGCCTTTTGTGATTTCCTTTCGAACCTGCTTGTGTACCTTAGTCTTGTCAGGTATTCTTATAGTAGAATAAACATAATACATAGTATGTAACATATAAAGAAGTAGCATATATAGCATAACTGTGTGCCTGTGATAGAACTGTGCTTAACGTGTGACATCTACCATTAATTAAAAGGTTGAAAAGCTGAGTGACAGATGTACCAGATTCGTTGTGTTTGATTTGTGCTGTTTTTTGAAATAAGGTCTCACTATGTAGTTCAGCTGGCTTCAGGCTCAGCGTGATCCTCCTGCCACAGCCTCCTGAATGAGCCACTACACCTAGCTAGATTCATTGTGTTTGAAATCACTGCTGCGTGTTTACAAAATCATTATTGTACAGTGAATATAAAAAGGGAACTCCTGTATTTCTAATGTCTCTGTTATATGTAAGTTGAAAAATGTGACTGATTACTTCATTAAGTCACTAAATATGCTTCAGAGAAATACTGAAAATGAAATACTGAATATGAAAGCTTCCATACAAATCAGTATATTATTATTTTTTCAGGCACTCAGATCATATGAACTACAAATAACTACTAACATTATTAGATTAAGTGAGAGTTGTGTCTTTATCAATAAAGTGGATGAGTGCTGCTTCAGGTTTTAGTTGGGCCTTCCAGTTTTTAACTCAACATAAAGATAATGCTTAAATACTTCTTCCCCAAGCCTGTTTTATAGTGGCCCTATGACCACTGTAGACCCCTGTAACTATAAAACTGGCCTAGCCATTGCCCTGATTCTTTTCTTCTAATCAGACTTTTGCTTCTCAGAATATTGGCAGATTTTTAAACTAAAAATCTGATTTTTAAAATATTGGCATTTCAGTGGTGATCTTATGATTCTGTTTTCCTTTCTATGCTAAACTTACTCTTTTAATTTTGTGTCTAGAGTGATGACAGTATGCAAGCACCCCTGTGGTGAGCTTAGTTAAACTGGGCCTTTTCCTTGGACACTAATCATGGGATTTAGAGAGCCTTAATATACAGAGCAGTAGATTAAACTTGTAGAATCATCCTCATCATTCATATACTGTATTGTTTGATACCTAACTTAAGGTGTCTGAAAGTATTCATTCCTGTCCATAAGAGGAAAACTCACTGCATATGAATTACATTTTCTTAGTTATATGTGGATAAATTCTACCTGAACAAATAATAGTTTGAGAAATAAAACATTGTTTCAATTGATTATAGAAGTCCTAGGCAACTTCAGAGGTGTTAATCTAAAACCCAGAGTTCAGTGCTGGGGGTGTAATGCAGCAGTCAGGTGTTTGCCTAGTGTATTTGAGGCCCTGGGTTCCATCCCAGACATCAAAAAAAAAAAAAAGTTTTTAATCATAAAACCCAGAGTTCATGTAAGGATTGTGGTTTATAAAGCTACTCTTATGTACTGTTTTAGAAATCTGGTTTATAGTTTATTTTGAACTTGATTTATAAACAGAAGTATTAGTCTCATTTATTAAAGCTGAAGGATTTCTCCATGCATCTTTCTTCAGAACTTGTCTCTTTTTTCTTTTAATAAGTGGGGAGTATGGAACATACTGTCCATTTCTCTTCCTTCCAACATTGGATTTCAGACTAATTAACAGAATAAAGCAAGCATCTTTCAAAAACTTGACTTTAAGTACTTGGATATATATCATCAGAGCCATTAAAAAGAACATGATGTTTAGTGCATGTCTCCTCCCAGCAAGCACAGAAACTTCCCAGGACTGTTCCCAGTATCCCCGGAGGCCAAGTACAGCTCCCAGTACTGAAATCTTGTCACTGGGTAGCTTTTAAAAATATGTTAAAAAGCTTGTCTATCTGACATAGTCCTTCTCTATTTTGGTGATGTTCCAAAGCTTAGAAGATTTAACCTTTCTGAAGTAGAATTCATTAGCTGTTTAAAAAAAAATGTGTTTTAGTCTTGATGTAAGTTGTGAATAGACCCTGAAAATTTCTGTGTGTTCATAGCCTGAACACATTTTTTGTTGTTGTTGTTATTGTTTGGGTCTTTTTATTTTTATTTTTATTAAGGGCCCAAACCCTTTAACACTGAAATTTGGAGCTAGGACTACAGGTAAGAGACCAGGCATGGGACATTTGGGCAAAGTTGTTGGTTGAGAAGTCAGCAGTCACAGAAAGTCCAGAGAGTATGGCTGGCAGCCCCCGTCCTTGTCCTGACTTCTCCCTGTTGCTTATTTGGGAAAGGTAGAAGCTCGTGGTTGCCTGTCATGGCCCCTGAGAGGAAGGACAATCAGTTAAGAACATTCTGTTTCATTCTGTGAATTGTTCCAGAAGAGGAGCTTGGGCATGAGTGTGCTTCCCCTTATGGACTTCCCCGATGCACTCAAGGATAAGAGTACCTTCCTTGGAGTCCTTTCCTGAGGCCTGGATGACATGCTATGTAGTGTATGTTCAACATAGTGCCTGACACATTGTCACTGTACCAGAAGTGTTCACTGTTGCCATTGTCACCATCATTAGTCATCTGTTATCATCAGATGCTTAATTGTGATCTAGTATTCTCTGCTCCCAGTAGGAGGCATTGTGAGGTATCTCAGAGTTCAGAGATGTAAAATAAAAAGGGAACACTGTCCCATTTTAAAGTTGATTTTCTATTCTATTAGGGAAGTCATGCTTATTTATGTCCTGTGATAGTTGCTGAGCACCTGTGTTGAGCTAGGCACTCTGCTAGGTGCTGGAGATGTGAAGATGAGAAGACAAGCCTGCGTCCTACACTTGGTTCAGACCGCTAAAACAAAGTACTGTAGCTTAACATGGGCAGCTTTCACAACAAACACTCACAGTTCTGGAGGCTGGAAGTCCAAGACCAAGGAGCCTTAAGATTCAGTTCCTCATTGGCAGTTAGCCTCCTCCATGCTGTGTCCTCATTGGCCAAAAGAGGGAGGAAGAAAAAAATCCCTTTTGAATCTGTCTAAAGCGTGGTAATCCCATTGTCACATTACCTGCACACATCCCAAACATTGGGGATTATGGCTTCAGTGGAGATTGGAGAGATTTGGACCATCACAGGGAGTTTAAACTTTCTTTGGGCTTGGGATAAGTAAAGAGGTGGCTGCTATGCTAAATAATTGTAAAATACAAAGTTAGTCTCTGTGTGGATTAGGAACACCTAATAGATTTGGAGGGCCAGGGATAGCTCACTGGAGGAGGAGTCATTTAGGCTGGGACTTCAGGAGAGAGCAGTAGTCAGGCTGGGAGAACAGAGGAGCAATGTGAGCACTAGGCTGGAGCAGGGAGAGCATGGTGCATTAGAGGAAATAGCGCTACGTGGTTTCTGGAGTGTGAGGTCCTGGTGTGGAAGGTAAGAGGAGGAGGCAGGAACTTGCAAGCCTTGGAAAGGAGAAGGGAAGGAAACATCTGTATGCAGGGAAAGGACATGGTGACATTTGCCTTTGGGAAAGATCACCCTAGCCACATTGTGGAAACTGAGTCAGAGAGAGCCAAACTGGGGGCAGGGAACCCAAGTGGAAAGGGCTTTGAACAGCCTAGTTGAGAGACGATGAGGCCCTGGGCCGGCTTGGAGATGATGTGCATGATGACCGTAGGACATCTTTCATGTCCTGCATACAGGAACTCTGTGGTGCCAGGCTCTGCTTTGAAGGCCTGTCCTGTACATACTCATTTAATTCTCCAAACTGTCTTTAGGGGTGTGTACTGCTCTTATTTCACCTGGACAGGTAAGGACTAGGAACATGTTCAGTCATGTAGTTATAAATGGTAGGGCCAGGATTGGAACCCAGGTAGAAAGGCTCTTGACCATAGTACATAGTGATCTAATTCTAGACCTCTTTAGCAGGTAGAATGGACAGGACTGGTGAGCTTGAAGACTGGTGATGACCCAGGGGAAACCTAGTTTCTGTCGTGGGCATTGGCTAGATGTTTGTGGCTGTGACTGAAATGGGGAGTATTTGATGGGAACAGACTTGTGCAGATGCTGAGATGTCCACCTGGGCATATGCCTGAGGAGTGACTTTCCAATGGAAAAATATGGGACTGGGCTCAAGAGAGAGATCCAAAATAAGATATGGATTTAGACAGCAGCATGGTGTAGGTGGTAATGGAAACTACAGGAGCCTCTGAGGTTGCTCAAGGGGAGAAAACAAGAGGGACAGACTTAGAAGAAACAAATGCCTGACAAGAGGGAGTGTAGCGCAAAGGAGCCCGAGTCATACAGAGCTGGGCGGCACAGCGGGAGGATGTGTACATGGAAGCTGAGGAAGGCAGGGTTCTGAGAAAGGGGAACAGGCTCTCGTGTACTGCAGCTAGCCAGCTGGTGTAGAACGATCGAGGGTTCCCATTGGGTTCAGTGGAACTAGGTCACCTGGTGAGCTAGGTGAGCTTGAAGCTGAGAGCACAGAGGGTGCAGGCAGACCAGGAGGCAGTCGTGGGTGGCGGCTGGGTGTTATTTCATGCGAGGCACCTGGTGAGCTTAGATTCTGTTGGGAAGAGAGGAGACAGGCCCCGGAGGCCGTCGGAGTGAGGCACCAGAGGGGGTCAGGGAGGGAGGGATGGAGGGAGGCAAGTGGGTGCCAGAGGACCGCAGGTGCCTGCAGAGCCGTTTATGACCGTGGGAGATGCAGGCTGCTGAAATCAAAAGGTAACAAGGTCAGATTTCTGAGAGGGGAGGAATAAAAAAATACCTGCTGCCTGGCAGCGGGTGGGGGGTTGAGTATGTTGTCAGGAGAAAGCATACTACAGGAACCAGCTTATGCTAGCGTAGAGTTCATTGGTTTGTTGACCCTTTGGTTGTCATCAGCCAGTAAAATATTGTTGAGCTTTGTTTTTTTTTTTTTTATAGTTGGTATTGTTAAAAGCATAATGATCTGAGAAATTTCGATTTACTCAAAATGATTTTTGAAATTACTACCCTGCCCCTGGAGATACTTAAACAGCCTTGTCAGAAACCTTGGCTACCATCCTCTATTGGGAATCTAAGTGATCAAGTGTCGGAGAGCACAAAGGAGATACTTAGGCAGGGGGCCTGGGGCCTGCCTGGAGAAGAAGTGTGTTAGGGATAGGACTGTCCACGTGTGTGCCCCTAAATTTTTCCTTTTTAAAGCAGCTTCCCCATCCTTGCCCTGCAGCTAATACTTCATCTCTAATACATGGTTTAAGAAGAAGACTTCCCATCCCCAGTGTGACCCTCGCCACTAGCTCAGAATCCACCGTTCCTCTGTGCTTCTCATCTTTAGCCTTCCCTCCTGGGTTTCCTGTCTGTCCCGGTTCCTCTGGGCTTGGCTTGGGCTTATTAGCTTGTGTCAGTCTTGGCGATTACTCAAAAGTGCTATCCCAGCTGGCTGTAGTGGTGCATGCCTATCATCTCAGAACTCTGGGAGGCTGAGGCAGGAGGATTTTAAGTTAGTGACCAGCCTGTCTCAAAATAAAAGAGGTCTAGGCATGTAGCTCTGCATGAAGGCCCTGGGTTTGACCCCTAGTACCAAAAACAAACCTTTGAGTACCAAAAAGCCACTGTCCCTTGGCTAATTCAGAATTCATCCCATCACTTTCACGGTGGAATTCTAAGATCCAAGTCTCAAAGGTCCGTGGGCCTGACCCACAACTCTCTGAATGTCACTGAGCAGAGAGGTTGCAAGGAGCCCAGCCCCTGTATTCACAGTGGAATTCTGGCACAACTTGTTCCTAAAAGAAGTATTTTTTACTTAAATGGCCATGACAATAATTGTTTTTAGCCTGTAAGTCTCAGGTAAAGGCAATAACAAGAAAATTAGCCTTTGTTATCTGAAAATGGAAATACAGCCCAAGTAAATACGAATTGTTCCATTTAAAAAGAAAAACAAACACCTGTGCACCTGCTGACTTGGTTTCATAGTAAAAAAAAATTATTTTTAATTAATAATAGTAGTAACGAAAAGCAGAAAGACTCTTCCTTAACCTTGGTTCTTAACTTGTTTGTTAAATGACAGAAGAAATTTGCCTACTTTTAGATAAAAGTGGATTTAAAATAAATTGATCAGCCCTTAATTCCACTCAAATGTAAAACCTAGATTTGTCAACACATCCGTGGGTCATGTTGTACATTTATTGATGCTTATGCTGCTGTCACCGCACTGCTGCCCACGTTTTTATTTAGAAAGAGGTGTGAAATGGGAGGAGCATGGAGGTAGAGGCCGGGGAGCTAGGTGCAAAGCCCCATTTGTTCAGATGTAGCCTTGAACAAGTAGATATCACCTCACAGGATCTCAGATTCTTCCATAATATGCAGTCCTGGACCAGATTCTTGGTTTCTACTTTTTAGTTCTAAGATTCTTTAATGTCTGAGATGGCATAAGGACCTATACAAATGTCTAGGAATGTGGCACTTCTCAAATATAAATGGTTTCTCAAACCTAAACCTTCTAGTGTGTGTTCTTTCCCAGTATTTATTTCCAGGTAGAAATTTAAATTTCACATTCAACTTTCAGGATAAGCAGAGGATTGTTCTCTGACAAAGTCTTTTTATTGTACACTCAAGTTCCCACCCTTTTGTGTAAGTCAACAGAATTATACTGTGAAGTTCTCATTTTCAGGCAGCACGCTGTCACATTTCACTAAGTCATTCTAATGACAATAAAACATGTTGGGGTTTAGACCAGCTCTTTCTTAATAGATCTATTAATTCAGTGCTTTATAGCACGGTGGTGAGACATGGTCACGGGGCCAGCCTCCACATTGGTTCCTTCACACACCAGGCGTGGGGCATCTATTATGTGTCCTTCCTTCCAGAAAATGCCCTCTGCTATGGACACCAGCCTCCATCTTCCTGCTGAGCCCATTTTACCTATGGATTGGGGCTCTTATCAGGCTGTCCTTTCATTTATTTCCTTTGATACACATATATCCATTGTTTCACTGATTTTTTTCCACTCAGGAGCCTCGGCTGTGTTCAGTTTGTAGCTTTGTATATTTGTCATTATTCTCAAGTTTCTATTTTTGTTTTGTGGTGCTGGACATTGAATCCAGAGAATGCTGAGTGACATCCTCAAAATCCCTTTGTTATTTTTTTTTACTTAGAGACAGAGTCTCCTTAAACTGCCCAGGCTGGCCTCAAACTTGTGATCCTTCTGCCTCAGCCTTCATATTATCATGCACCACACATGACACATTGTCAAGTTTTCCACGTGTATGTTGCTGGGCTTCTCAACAGGACTAAAAGGTGCTGTGGAGTGAGTGTCTGGGGAACTGGCGCTGAATGCGTGAAGGAGCAGGTGCTGGCAGATGGGCTGCCTGGCTGCATGCAGACCCCTTGCTGGAAGCAGAAGACTGGTTCCACGTGGGTAGCCTTGAAAGTGGCCCAGGGGGTACCAAGAATATTTAGTTGTTCTGCATGTGTTTGTGTGATACTCTTGTGGGGTGGCTTGTCCAACATTTCTGTTTCTCCTTCCTTTGGGGGGCTTACTAGGGTTACCCTTCCAACTCTTGACTGGTGTTGCGTCATTTGATTGGTTCATGTGATTGATTATATCAAGAAGTCTGGGTTTCTGTGATGAGTTTGGGCTAGAATTCAAGTAGGAAATGCCATGTGCCACCTCTTAGCCAGAGCGTATAATTGCTGACCTGAAAGTCTCTGGAGTTCCCTTGTCCCTTTAGCATAATTTACAACTCTGGTAGCTGATCTGTCAGCCTTGTCTTAGTTACTTACTTATTGCTGAGACAAAATACCAGATACCCACAAGTTAAAATAGAAAAGGTTTATTGCAGCTCATAGTTTGTAGAGGTTTCAGGCCATAGTCAGCTGGTTCCAAGGAAGGCAGCAGGGCAGAGGGGCATAGCAAAGAGAAACAGTCCATGGCAAGGCAGGCAGGAAGCAGCACGACTTCCTTCTTTCCTTTTTTATTCCATCCAGGCTGTAGGCCTATTGGTTGGTGCCACCCACATGCAGGTTGGGTTTTCCCTTTTCAGTAAGTGCATCATTCACACACAGAACTGCTAAACCAATCAGTGGGCCAGTCCAGT